TGTGGGGGGGGGGGGGGATGGAGAGGGACAAGTTACCCTCTTCGGTTAGCTTCGTCATGAGAACAGAATATGTACCCTGTGAACTCAGCTAGCATATATGCCTTAAACAACTTACGATTTATGCATGGTAATAATAGACATTGTGACAACATTACCGTTTTGAATAGATAAAAAGGCAAGGAGGTTTTACTGCCTTGCGAGTAGTCTGTATCCGGCTCGGCGTATTATCATGTTTCTAAGTGCATTCCCACAAGGTCGAAGGTTGTCCGTTGTTGAATAATATTAATATAATTCCATATCGATTCGTTTAATTTTTGTACTGGTTAAAATCTAAGCTGCTGATGTCGAATAACTGAAGTTGTTAAAACGTGGTTCATGCCACGTAGCACAACGAATATGAGTTTGCAACTAATATCGTGTTGTAGGATTCCAAGTTTTCTCCCTAATGTGAGTTGAGGTAGTGGTCTACTGAGTTTCTGCGCAGTGTACCAAAGTTTAGTTGGAAATCCTTTATCATCAGAGCTGGAATGACTCACTTCATATCTGCAGATGGAGGTAGGAAGTTATGGAGGAACTTTAATGGCCATCTACAAGATTACATGTCGTCACCACTCATAAGACCATTATAATTATCAGCATGTTATTAAAAGGTAAACTGTAGCATTTCGTAGTAAGGGTAGCATAACGTTGGCCCTCAGTACAGCAAACCCTGTTTTTAATTGAACTCTACTGACCTTAAAATTTGCTCTCTTTCAAAGGATTCCGATTAATCACGTGTTTACTGCACAGCACATACGTAATTTACCTGTGCACTTATGATTCAGATCACAAGGCAGAAAATATACACAAATAGCCTGAGACCCTGACGCGCCTTTAAACCCACAGGTCGTCAGAATATGCCACGTACAATGGCTGCACTGTTACGTGACAGTACACATTTTAAATTTTCCTTCTGCTTCCGCCATTTATAGATGACGACGGTCGGACTCTGTTTTTCGTTTTCTCTTTAAACTGTGGTTCTAATACTTTTTATCATATCATCTTCTTATTCTGCTTCCCAGGGATTGGGAGCCCCTAATTTTGTTCCCAGATTCAGAATTTTCTACATAGATCTTGCCATCTATTCTTTGGTCTTCTGATACTCTTCTTCCTCTTTTAGGTTGATTGTAGGAATTATGTCTTCTTCCTCCCATCAGCGTCATGCCTCTGTCTTTATCAGGATGTCTGCGGTTTGTAACTCCTGTTTCCCTCATTTTATAGCCTGTGTCATAAACAGATTCCCAATAGCAGTTTGAGTAGTCTCAATGACGTTTACTTCGTGAAAAAATAAAAAAAAAATACATTTCGTTTCCTGTTAACTATCTTACAACATACGTAGTTTCTTTACAGTCACGGAAATGTGACTGGACTCCCATGTGATGTGAATGCATAGGTTGACTTGAAGTTTGTTCTATTAAAAGCCTTTCGGACGGACGTAAAATCCTGTTAGTCAACTGCATGATTACTGTGGCATTTCTGTGCCTAATCACAGGAAGGAGTTTTAGCTGTGTGGATCGAGCATGCGCACTGTGTTCTATTTTCTTTCGAGCACCCATCTGGGAGAAATATTCGCTGTTTTCAACAGTCATCATCACCCTGATGACGGAGGCAGTATGACCTCTGAAACGTTGGTTAACATCAACCAGACTACACAGCGCAACAACCCAGAAGACGGAAATCTTCATACTCACCGCTGTGAAAACCTCAAGTCTTACATAGTCATCATCTTATTGGGTGAGGCACCAAAGTCCTTCAGTAATTTGAGCATATAACCTTTGTTTGTGATGTCATTTGTGTTTCCGCAGACGCGTGCCGTTTTCGTGTGTGATAATTAATTAAATGATCAGAGATTTTCGTCTAATTATAAATATTGCATTACTTCGAATGTAACATGTTTTCAATAAATTTCACTGGAGGAATTTTTGTGTGATGATGCAAGGATTCTCGATAGGAATTATTAATACGCCACAAATTTCTCTTTATGAAGATGAGAAATTCCTCTGAAACACGATGATCGAAATACTCAGTCACGTGTTGGGCGCCAATTTTTTTTTCTAGTGTCAGACGTCTGTTGAATGCAAAATATTGTCGATTTTCTTAAAACCGGCTCGTGATTGGCCAACACGAAAAGATACATGCTATGAAATATAGGATTGTTTTATGTTATGACAATTTCGTCTTAAATACCTTTCGATATGAGAAACAGTGAAATAGAAGGGGAGACATTGAAGGAATAAGCAACAAATTAGTAATTACAATAAATGAAACATTGGTAGTGTGGACACGTGGAAATGTCTGTTGGTATCTGGTTCTGAAAGTCGTCGAGTTCTGTTGTAATACGACGGGACTATGCGGGAAAGATTAGTTATCTGAATAACTTGTGGCAGAAGATAGCCTGTTTACTGTTGGGTCTTGATTAGACTCGGCTAGCTCATGCTTCCACACATGTTTCTTATATAACTCAGCTTCTTAGTACTTGAATTGGAAGCCACTGTTCTACGCCGTTCACACTTCACACAGACCGTCTCAGAAACTGATTTTTGTCGGACTGGTGAAAATTCTAGTTCGGCTGGGAAAGAGATTCGAGAGGATGTACAAGCCCTTTTGTATACTGAATAACTCAGTGTTAAAAATGAACAGCGGTGAAGAATGTTTTATTTTTTACACACTTTATTTGTTGCTGATGTATCTACCTACGTTAAGTCCTGTTTCTCTAATATTTATTTTAATATTATCATCACATCTACTGCCATGTCTGGTGTTACGTTTACACAACAGAATTTGATGATTTGAAACTGGTTTTAATGTTCATAGTAATGAGATTTTGCGTCACATAAGAAGTACTCTGAACTGAAAGCAACGTAATTATTTTTCTTGTTAATTTACCTTGTCAGTCTCATCGTTACATTTCGAATTACTGAAAGTGGAATAGTTTTAAGCTTGAAACAGATATTAGAAAGAAAATATTACATGGAACTAACCTGTGGGCCCTGTGGTGTGTGCTGGTGGGAGGGTAGAAGGAGGTGTCACCCCCTCACTTCTCTCTCACTGCCTCCTCTTCCCCTCTACAATTTTTTCCCACATATATATTTCTCTCCTGCTTCCCCTCCTCTCCCCTTCCAAAATATCACGTGATTGTTCTTGAATGACGTCACTTGAGGGCGCCGACGTTTTGCAGTATGGCGGCCTGGTAGACTGCGCAGACTCAGATCGCAGTGCGCCGGGTAGTGGCGTCGCGGCGACAGGGGGTTGTACTACAGACTCCAACGCCGTGGCACTGGTTCACACAGGCAGTGGAGAATGTGACAGGTAGCGGCCAAGGATCGGTTATCTCCAAAGATCATGTACACATATCTAGTCACTATTCGAAACCGTTCTTGAATTCAAAACGACTGTTTGCTTTACACTGTTTCTTGCAAGATGTGGGAGTACTTTTATTGCTGAGCTGTTGCTACTTTAAACTGATAATTGTAGCTATTTTGAAGCGGTCGTCATTATGTTTTCGAAGAACGTATTACAACATTTTCTAGAGTAACTTTGCTAAATCTCGACCTATTGTATTATAATCTTGCCGAAATTCGTATGTGGTCATTCCAAATGCCAGGCGCCAAGGACTCTGTGGTGATACTGTGATTGTGTGGTGAAAACAGGGCACTTCGTAGTTAGCAGACTTAATTTATTTTAAGATACCTTTGTCACATTTCTCGTAACGAGTAAGTAAGAAACATCTTAAGCTTAAAAATGTCATTTATGATGGTAGGAATTCGGTGACGCTCTTTCAAAACATTTTGCGGCTACATGTATAGGGGTTTGTGAAGCAGAAGTTATCATCGAGTATACTGGCGTGAAAAAAGTACTTTTGTCTCATTATCCAATGCTGAATGTTATCTGCAAGTGTCACTTTGCTCTCTTTGACAAGTAATGGATTTTACTATGAATTTCTGTAATTCTAATAATAATGTAATTCAGTTTTTTATTATTAGAGGGCTGCATCAACAACCAGAAGGCCAATTACAGACAGCACTAGAGAAGAACACATTAATAAATACAGAAAAATAAGAAACAGGTTATAAAAAATTACAAGAGTTTAGAGGACGTTAATACACAAAGGAAATTTTCTACTGAACAATGGATATATTTGTAATACTAAGTAAATTAAATTGTCAGTTTGTTTAAAAGGAGAATAATATATGCAAATGGACAAGGTTTTAAATCAGAAAATTTATAGAGTTAGAATGAAGGCACATTGTTAGTCAATGGTGAGAAAGGAGGAAAATATTATTCTAATAATAATTTTGTAAAACAGTGGGCCAATTAAACGGCGTAGTTGTAATTTCTGCGTTGCGCCGTTTTAAAAAGAGAGAGAGATACTATTTGTAAAACCTAGACGTAGATGGAGCGAAAATATTAAAATGGATCTTAAAGGAATAGGGTGAGATTGTGAGAGCTGGATTTATTTGGATCAGGATCGGGAGTAATGGTAGACTCGTGGATAATTTGTTGACAAACTGAGTATAAATTTTAGCTTCATAGATTTAGTGTGAACCGCAGTCACCACCTGCATTTGATACCCTGTTAATGTTAACCAGTACAGGCTTCATCGTCTTATAGACCTAACACTGTAGCCTCTTCGCTGCGTCGTGACGCTGCATGAAAAATGTCTTCAAAGGCTTTCATGTGTGAATCTTTCACACATTTAAGTGTTACATATGTTTCTTGTTTCCACGACGCTGCTCCCACAGTATGAAAACAGCTTTATAATGGTACATTTAAATGATAAATGTTTTATTTTTTCATTTTTATGTCTATACATAACTAACCACAGTGTTGTAATCATAATTTTCGTCTTAAAATGTCTTAATTATTTGAAATTACACGTGTCGTGCACTATTGAAAGAACACATACTTGGCACGCATCTCATTTAAATACATCCGTGACCACACTACAGAGATTCCTAGAATAACCCATTCTATTCTTCTTTTCCATAAAATACCCCAGAAACCTTTCATTTTCGTCAAATTGTATAAAAGTAAAAAAAAAAAAAAAATAAAAAAAAAAATAGAAGCTTGCTTCGGAAAGTAGGTAATACATTTCATGTTACTGTAAGTGGTCGTTAAAACACACACTTGCACCTCACCACATCAGTTCTCATGAAATAGCACTGTGTGTGTGTGTGTGTGTGTGTGCACTTGTGAGTATGACCTCCAAGGTAGTAAACGGATAATGGTTGAACACAAAGAAACAAGTTTGTTAATAAAAAATCTTCTTTTGGACTTTTTTCGCCGTCTAAATTATAAAATAATAAAATTAAAACGTTTTGGAAACTACATTCTGCTTCCGTCTTAGTGGAAAAGAGGGCAGAAAACCTACGCCATTGTTGGGCCAGCGTTAAAAGTTTTCGTATATTAGACCTTAAGTGTAACTGGTGAAATGGATACAAGGTTCTTGCATGGCGGTCCGCGTAAATGCTCATATTTCGTGTTATGTAAGCCATTCTTGCCGAACATCGAAGATGATAGGAACCTCGTGAAAAGACCCCACTTACGAAACGAACCCGTAGATAGAATGACGGACATATTTCCAAATTAATATTAGTGAAATAGTTTGCAAACACGCGAAATGGATTCAACTCATCTAGGATACTGTATAGTGTCTTTATGGAGAGAAACGTTTGGCTACTCGTGACAGAATATATATGAGTTAATTTGCTTAGAGCGATCGAGTGAAGGAGGCAGATGTTCTTCGAGTCCTAAATAATCTTGAGATCGACTTTTGCCCTCCACGCCTTCAAGAGGGAGTTCAGAAACTTAAGGTTATAGATTTTGTAACCCACTCTCGAAAACATAGGGTTCCTAATCTGGAACGTTTTTTAATATGAGATGCTTATAATTTTCACAACAGAATTGGTTTATGAGGTGCAAAACGTTCTCGCTTGACCTTTGTAATGGAAGAGAAAAGTGAGATGAAATCGTCTGTCAGTGCATTTTTCATTAGAATTATATTGCTGAACGCACATTAGAATATTAAAACAAGAAAAGACCGGAAGCTGAGAGTAATGGTAACATGAATTCATTAGCAGTGCGATTAGTTTTTGCTGTAGTGGACTAACGTCAGTAAAATTCTACTTATTCAGGAATGAAATGTCACCATAGAATATGCTGAAATGTAACTTATTTTAAATATAAACAGATTACTATACGTTATATATTATTTTAAATTTGCTCCTGCAACACCCCGTATTGGACACAAGTTTTACTTGACAAACTTACGGTAGGGTTTTCATAAATCAGCAGACGAGATATGAATCACGACTATCTTTAAGATACTTCGCTGTAACGAAAAGCTTATAGTAACCAGTAATAAATTAAGAAATTGACAAATAATTCGCGGATCTGGGTACAAGTTGTTTCGGACTGGATATGACGTTCGGACCGCCAGTTGGCCACAATTTACTGAAAACAGAAACTGTGACCAATATCAACAGTTCAGCACATTAGAGCACATTCGATCATGAAAACGTTTAGCAGTCGCTCAGCTGGTCAAAAAACTTGAACCCGAAATTTTATTACCGTATTCAGGAGAGACTCTCATTGCGCATTTTATATTTCTCTTGAATTTTCATTAGATACTCAGATTGTCTGTGTTTCAACCATCTTATGTTATTATGTTATTTTTGTATTAGTATAAACTATTTTCAGTTCCTTTGACAACAAAGCCTTGTAAATGTGGCAAAATTAAAATAGATACATCTAAACGAGAGTGACCACTGGAAATCACATTCACAAGAGACTACACATGATCAGTTAGTGCAAAAACGCCTTCGAGAATCCCTTATTGTAACAAATAATTGAAAATGTCTGGCGTCTCGTATCACAGGATAACATCCGATCAGCCAACAAGCCTTAATCGAAGAAGACGAAGATCCCATTCATCATAACTTCCGATAGAAAATGCGACTGAATTATGAATAAAATATCAATTTATAACATCAAAAAAGGGGGATATTTTCTGTGTAACGAATCAATTGAACTTAAAAAATAATGTACACACTCATAGGTATCTGCGTTCTACACATCTTGCATGAGTATAATAAAAATCCGTATGAAATTTAAACGTAATTTGTGCTGGATTTCATCGTGTTTTCATGTGTACATTTTCCCTGCTTAATTCTGAAAGAGCGATGTTTGAATTTTTTAATCTTAAATACATAAATCAATATGTACGAGCGGTCTTGTTTCCTAATGCTGTAGTACTAAACCAGTTTTATTTTCTTAACTTCCGCAGTGAAAAGTAAGTAGACTTATGGAGGGGATGCTTGCTGGCCTAATTTTGTAACAATTGCACCAGCTCTGTCGGCATTGTGTTTACCTGTAAGAACGAGTGTTTTCTAAGTGCAGTTTTAATCGTTTCCTGTTTCACAAGAACATGAAATCGGTTTGCGGATATGTGACTACAGTTCAGATCGCCTGTTTTTAATTCCATATGAGTGGCAGTATTAACATAGTGTACGAGCAAAATTTTAAAATGGTAATAATATTGACACAATTCCATGCAAGTTATATCATATTTATGAAAATTAACCTTTTTCGTAAATAAATGACCTCAGTAATTAGATGATGTCATGAACAAAGATGTCACTTGTAAAATGTAGTCATGATTAGGAATGTAATATTAAGTGTATATTAGAACAGTAGTATGTGGTTTTTGACTTAGGGGGCAAATTTCAGAATACGTTTTCTTGGCCAGATTTTGTTGCGGCGTTATTGTGCCACATTCCTTTCACCAGCAACTTTCTGTCAGATATTTTCCATCTCTGACGAAGGAGAATCAAGCGATTAATAACAGCTGAATGAAAAGTAACCGAACTCCATCGCACGTAGTCACGATTTCCATTGACTTTCTGCACAGCGTTCTATGCTTGAAGTTGGTAAAATGACGTAATGCAGCGCCGCGGGGTGGGGGGAGAGAGTAATATGTTTAGCAGACATGCGCATAAGGAGCATCATGGCAGTGTTCTTTAATAGACTTAATAGCAATGGTCAGCAGTAGCGAGAGGAGAATGGCTTAACAGATAAGAAAAATCATCCATTTTTCACCAGAGAACAAAAAGACAATTATGGAGGACAGTCTCAGGCAATTCTGTAGTAATGTGGAAGGCCGTGGT